ATGGACTCGGCTCATTAATCTGGACACACACTGATGGTGGGACACTCTGCCTCCCACACACTGTTCGGCACCACAGAGGCATTCTGTGGATTTCAGAGATAACCGCTATGAGAGCAGGGACGCAGCACATGCTGAGCTCTCTCAACAACCTCCTTTAACACTCAGACCGCCGCAACTCTCCTTTAGCAGAGCTGCGTACTCTTTGAATTTTGAGGAGAGGGAAAGAAAAAGAAGCAGAGAGAGAGTCAGGGTGTAAAAAAAAAAATAAAAGGCCAACCGCAGTCCAAACCACCCAAACAACAGTAATTTGTATAGCCAATCAACTTCAAATTAGGCCTTAAAACACATGGTTTAAAAACAACCTTTGCAACCTAATCCATACAAAAAACAAATGAGTGGACATGGCTCCAGGGACAGATTTGATGACAAGGCTTATAAAGCAGAAACAATCACCCAGAAAGATGTGAAAGGCTCAAGCTACGATTGCAAATGAGCTGGAAAACGATTTGCAAGATACAGAGGAAGGCCCCTCAAACTGAATCCGAAACGAAGAGGAGACAGAGCATGACTAAAACTTACGAGCTTACGCGTGTTGGGGAAGCCATTTTCCAGGTTGATAACTCAGTATACTGTAACATGATCTTCCTGGAAAGCAACAAGTCCACATAAAGTTAACAGAAGTTGCTTACATTATCTTTAGTAATAGGTGCAACAAGGTTGATGTTTTCAAGGGTTTCTCGAGAACAAAAGTATGGAAACATAGAATATGTGTGGTATGGGTCATTGTCATCTAACATTGAGCAGAATATACCAATTATAGCAGGGGGTCTAGGACTACGGACTATGTTAAACTAGCTAACATTTACATTTACTCCCAGATCAAACAAAACAACTAAAATGCTAAATTAGTTGAATGTGTCAGTTACTGATGGCAGGAGAAATGTTAGTGTTTCATTTTCTCCTATTTTTTACCTGGTATTTGTTACATGCTCTCTTATTATTTTGATTTTAACCAGTGGTGATCAGACAGCTTATCAATACATTGCTGCCCCCATCTGTCTTTGATGTAAAACTTATGCGCGATCATTTTGATGCATATTAATCAACATAAGAATAAAGTTGTGTGTCACTGGTGTACCGTATACCAACAAGTACACCAGTGTTTTGAATATCTATTGCTCACTAATGTTTCTTTGCCAGCCCAACGCCTGCCGAGTGTCAACAAGTCTCAATGCATCTTTATTCCATTCTGAGCGGTCAGCTCGTGATCAGATCCCTCAGAAAGCAAGTCTGAGCCATGTCTGAACAGCCCCTACAAGACCATCGCCCCCCCCCCCCACCCCCAACCCCCCATCCTGATCCATTCCAGTAGGCAGTCTGTCTCTCAAATGTGGTAACACATTCATAGTCACTCATGTGGTGCTTACACCCCGGCTGCCAAAGGGGACTCAGCATGTTGTTTATGTTTGTCATAGCTAGCCATCCTGCCTGCCCCTGCACCCCCCCCCCCCCCCCCCCACCGGCACCAACACACGCAACCACCCACCAGCTACCACATCCCCCCTCAGCCCCGAGCAGAGTAGATCACCATATCTGCTGAAGGAAGAACTGTTAGCGAAGAGGAGGAGGGCGAGGGAGATGATGTGGAGGCACGGGGCATTTTTTTGCTTCCCTGCTATTCCTGACTGGAGGAGGATTGAGATGTCCAGGCACCGGGAGCAGCATCAGATAAAGATGGAGGCTATTAGCAGCGGGCGGAGCGGTGCCAGTGGAGAGACGGTTATCTTCATTTGGCCGACGCTCAGTTCCTGTCTCCCCTTTATACCAGTCATTTTCCCTCTGGCCAGCAGATGCTCGGCGTTTCTGACCACTCCCAACAAGGAAAAGTTGCAATTCTAACCAAACCAGTGACAAACAAAAACATGAGCAAACGGTGCTGGATCAGGTTTGAAATTAGGAAGCAGGTGGCAACACTGTCCTGCGGTAGCTGGGAAGTTTGTTAACTAAGTGTGTGTATGATCCACCCAGACAGACAAAAACCACCACACACACGATGAACTGACCCACTCTCATACCGTACCTTACACATAATTGTGGAATGATCCTTTTTATCCTGAGTAATTAGCGGATTCAGGCACTCGACCCATAGCTGCCTCCCCCCCCTTTGCACCATCCCGGTCCTGCATCTACAAAAGAACCACACCCTCTGAGCTGGCAGGCTCAGTCCAAAGCTGAGCTGAGGCTAGATGTGTGCACAGATGTGAGGTGTGCATCAGGAGCTACACACATGAAGTCAAGTCTAAAGTACTAATCAGCTTTCTGTTTTTATTACAAGACATCACGAATATGTCCAAAAGATTTTGGTAGGCCACACTCTCATAAGATATATCACCCAGCACACATTTTTTTCTGCTGTTCTCCTGTCAGAATAAATTCTTTCTTATGATTGTTGTCCCTTTTCTACATGTGACTGAGACTCCGATTTGCGGCGTTACTCAGCTAATTGTATGTATTACTAGATGTTACTTCAACCAGATACATCTGACTGTCAGCAGGCATAAAGATTTGAATACTTTTTTTCCAGTCCTCATCATCCAACAACTCTTTTCTTTTAGAAACTGTTAGGATTGGGCCATGGTTGCTCAACGATTGTTTGTCTTATTCCTTTTATAACTATTTCATTCCTTTCAGAATGATACTTTTGTGTTAAACTCTCAGTCTGTGCCCACACATCCTCCTCTCTCTGTTACAGTAGATCCATGTCTTCAAGGTCAACATCCACACACACACTTTCTTATCACATTCCACTGAACTCCCATGAATTAGGACCTGGCCTGTTCATGTCAGAGCTAACTGCCCAATAACACTCGGTTGCGTCCAGCCGTCCTGTTCGAGGCCCGGCCCAGAAGATAAATGCCCACCACACCCGGAAATAAGCCCTCTTGCCAACTGAGGTCCTCCGGGAACTTTGTCTGTGAGAGCCCAGCGCTGACTTATTTTGCTTGTGACCAATAAATGTCATATTTGTACTCTTGAACTACTCTGGCTTATTCTGAGGCTTCCAATTAATGAATCGGGCTAGGGTTAGTACCACCATGCGATTTGGGACTCAATCATGGTTGGAAATAAAGCATGTTTGTTTAAAACTGAGAAAAACTGCATATAGAACTGACAAACAACCTAAAAGTGGACCATTTTGGTAATACTTAAATATTGATCATATTTTACCAATACGAGTGGTATTTATTTCCTTATGGACTGGTCAATAAGGATAAAGGTAAGCTGACTATGACCAGGCTGTTTCTCCCTGTGTTTGAATTTACTTACTGACATTTCTTCAGACTTTAAATGGACCTCACACCCTCACAAGCTTCCTTCTGATTAAAAATTTGGATGCCACTGTAATACAGTCTTTCTTTTACTGTGACTATTCAATGATGACTATGCATTTGATGGTTTAGTGACACAAACAGCCATCAAAATAAATCAGAAAACTGAGGGCTAAACCAGCGACTATTTGATGGTTAAGACTAGACTGAAACACTGAAACTATTTCACATTTCTTATAAGCACAATCGCCTTAAAAGTTAAAGACGGGCACTAGCTTAACTGAACCTAGCTAACAACAAGGTCATTTGCTTAACAGCTAATCTTCCTCTTTAATTAAAAAAAAGATTGTACAAGCTGCATATAAAAAGAAAGGGGAATGTTTCTTTTTAAACTTTTGGTGGCAAAATTAGCTTCATTCCATTTAGGGGCTTATGAGACATAACATAACCCTAACATAGCCCTTGGTAAGGTCACAACTGTCAATTGTCATTTTAATGCTTTGAGTTGGTATTTTGCGATAACAATCTTAATATTTGGAAGAAAAACAGAAAGAACATGACTGAACTATGCTTAATAATGAGCACGAGGCGATAAAGCCTGTGAAGTTATCTCATTTCAAGAGTTTAGTCTCAGGAAATACACCTAGCAAACACATCCAATGAAAATTCTGGATAGTTCTTCCATTTTTTATATACATACAGCACAGTTTTGATACAATCTGTACCCACGTGCATCTAGATTGAAATAATTTCAGTATCCAAATATTAAGGAAGACTCAGAGGTTCACAGACCTTCTCTTATTTTGCGTACACTAACTGATACTTTTTCATATTTCGGTCAATGCTGTGCTTGATAACTCAGCATAAAACACTGTATCCAACATTAAATAAAGTTCCATTAAACCCCTTCCCACAAACTTTGAACCTCTTCTATATTTTGAGCCTACGAATTCAAACTACTTCACCATTTCCCTCCCATATTCAGATAAATCAATAAATCAACATACTGCACGACGGACAATATAAAAGGCATGACATAAACCTCTTTGCAAAACCTTTTTTTTTTTTTTTCCCATCCCAGGCAAGACAAATTCAACTGTTTTACTGACCCGACTAAACATTTGACCTATCTAAATTATGCATTCACCTGCACCAGAGCCTCACGGAGGGCTGACAGTCTCCACGCAGCACGACTCACAGCGACTACCTGGATGCTGAGGCCCTGTCGGCCCTCCTCTGAATCAGTGGCATAAAAATGGGGGGGGGAAGAAAGAGTTCCACAGTAATGACAGAACGCCTCGTGCACGTTCCCTGAAGCCATTCCTTAAAGGGGTGCCGGATGGAAGGACCACTGGCTTATGAAAGCGTGCCGTGCACATGACCAATGTGGAGGTGGACGATGTGAAACCCTGGGAATAGCTAGCAAACAGTGGTGGCATGGAGGGATGGAAGAGGGTGGGGGGGTTCTTTAAATCATGGCCTATTTGCTTAAGATGAGGAAGGATAGGGGTACAAGGACATTAGATAGATAGATAGATAGATAGATAGATAGATAGATAGATAGATAGATAGATAGATAGATAGATAGATAGATAGATAGATAGATAGA